CTTGGGCTGATGGCATGAAATGTTTAGAAATAGCATGATATGAGCCATTTTGGTTCTGGTCAGATGGCCAATGTAGAGGCTTGAGAAGATGGTGACAGGCTACTTATGAAAACAGAGGGTCCATTTCTATGAGGATGTCAGTATTCTTCCTTGGCACAGCATTACCATGTCAACTCTTATATAACCTGTATTAAAATGTATAGATTGTGAAACCTGTTATTGAATGTCTGAAAGATTATGATGATTATACATACATTTCCACCAACAAAAAATACAAAAAAGTGAATTGAAATGTGTAAAAAGATTCATAAAACAGAAGAATAAAAACTAGGATAAAATGTACTATTTTGTTTGTATTATAATTACTATTGTGCTGGCAGAGGGATATTGAACAGAAATCAGCTGTAATAAAGTAATTTTAGTATATAACTTGTGTCCTGTTTTTTCAATTTGGAGCATAAGAAATTGAAACATTGTTAGAAAATGTGCACTCATATGGAGACTCTAACTCAGGACTTCTGCCTCGTAAACACGTGACCGCCCTTCTGAAGAATTTCAACCCATTGTGCCATTAAAAAAGGCCTTCAATTGTGCAAGGGGCGACACTTCAGGCTGAGGAGTGAATTTAACAGATCCCCATCTCCTACACTAATACAATTCTTCAAGATCCAGCAAAGTTACTCATCAAAAGAGCGTAGTTTGGTGATCAATGCTTATGGGATGAGAACCTTGCCTGAGCTGAGACCTGAAGACATGTTAGTTTGACGTGTTAGTTTGTGTTAGATGTTGTTAGTTTCAGGTCTTCCGGCAAGGGAATTCATTATAAGGTTAACATGTGACTGACTGGATTAAGACTGTGTTAGCCTGTTGAGCTGAAGCCTAGGCATTGGTCCTGTGACTTGGATGGGTCTCTTCAAGGAAGAGGTCATGTGATGAGTAACTTGTCTGAGATCTGAAAAGTTACATTGTCTGGCGCACAGGAGATCTGGGTTAGAACCCCATCAGTCAAACCATAGTCATTAAAACCATAGTCAAACTAACACATGATGTCTCCAGGTCTCAAGCAAGGTTGCTCATAGATCTCCAAACCACCTCTGTTGCGCTCTCATTAAATGGGGTGCACAGATCCTTCTGCTTCTGTTTGCCACAGAATGTGTTGTTGTTGTGCAGTAGGCCTGATTTCGAACCCAGTCAGTTATATTTAAGCAATAAGGCACGAGGGGGTGTGGTATATGGCCAAAATACCATGGCTAAGGGCTGTTCTTAAGCACGACGCAGCGCAGAGTGCCTGAACACAGCCCTTAGCTGTGGTATATTGGCCATATATCACAAACCCCTGAGGTGCCTTATTGCTATTATAAACTGGTTGCCAACGTAATCAGAGCAGTAAAATAAATAATTTGGTCCTACCCGTGGTATACGGTCTGATATACCACAGCTGTCAGCCAATCAGCATTCAGGGCTCGAACCACCCAGTTTATAATGGTGCTATAATCTGAGTATGAGATCAAAGGGGGGTGAAATGTGACAGAGGTGGTTCGATGAACCATGCTCTTTTGATAAGTAATCTTGCTGAAGACTTGAATAATTTTTTTGAAATATAAGTTACATTTATGAATTCAATGATTCAATCTGTGCATTACAAATTCTAAAATGTTAAATGAAAATGCAATATCGTAATACAAATACCAAATTATTAAATGAAAATACAATTTCTATTGGCACTGAAATCGCTACACACATGACACGGAGTGTCAAGGAGTGGAATGATAGTTTAAGACTGGTACCCAGACTAGGGCGTGTACAGTAGATCAAAAATTTGCTCCCCAAATTATGCGCAGTAATTGCGCATTCTGACTCCCGGAAACTCAACTCACAGGTAACGCAGGAACATTTGCTGGAGCATGCAGGCGAAGCTGTCCCTGAACAATGAAAACATGCATGTTAGCTGGCTAAATAGCTATACAATGTTATATTTGATAAAGTAAAACCATATTAACTTCACAAATTAGTTATTAAGCAAGCTAGCTAACTGTTCTAGCTAGCCAACAATACAGAAAACCTCCCAGTCAGCTGGTGCTAATTGCTAGCTAGCTGTAACATTGTGAATAGCTAGCTAGCTATAAAAAGCAAGTTTAGCTAAACAGCTTGCCTCCATGAATGTCACTGATATTCACGGACTTGGATATCGTTAAATCTGCTCCCATCACGATTAAAAGGTAGATACTTTATTTCCAATATTTATTGTTAGCTGGCTATTATACACGTCACCAAGATTGAGAATTAGCTAGCAGCTAGTTACCCCCTCACTGAACACAGATGATCAACTTTCCTCCATACTTAGCTAGGACATCTGCTAGTTTGCAAAGACCAACATACTGCTTGTTTGGTTTGGGCTTGAGTTCATGTACTAGTGTTGATAATCCCTGAAATGTCCTTGCTTTCAACCAAAAACCAAACCCTGTTTACAATCAAAATCTAAAATTGCCATTGTTTAATATTGTTCTCTTTCTTCAGGATTAGCAGTTCTCATGTTGCTCCCACCAGTACCTTAACTATTGTTCTGTAGAGGACTGTAGTGTTATGTTCCCCTATAATTTAACTCTCCTCTGTCTGCTATGTCTCATTGTAGAAGCCCCAGGATGGTGTGTGAGCTGCTAGTCTCCTCACTGTGGTTCCTTTTTGTAATCTTCTGGGTGGAGACCATAAGCGTGTGGCTTTTCCTATGCATCTTCTACCAGGACCAGGCATTTTATCACTGGGGGGACGGGTACGAGTACCTAATCATATTTTACACACAGACAACTTGCTGATTCTTAATCACCTTACAAATATCCATATTAAGTATCAAAACAGACCTTACTTTCTCATTCTGTTACTACAGGGTATTTGCAGATGACCCCGGCCAAATGCTCTACATGTTGAGCAGGTGAATCCTAATTTTGATTTCGATCTGTTCTTGGGTGTGATCAGATGAAATGCAGTACTATGACTTGTATCTGAAATGGAAAACTATACTGTTGTTAATAGTTATTACCATGTAGCATGTCACAAGAATGTGTTTACCGATACTGACAAGAGAGGGCATGATCAGGTTGAGTTCTTGACACTTTCATGAATAAAGTCACCATTGTTCTCTTTCCACAGAGTGGATCCCGCTGGACAGATGCAGACCTGAGACAGGGAAAGGATATGAGGAACAGCACATAATGGATTGTTCTCTCCAGATATAAAATTATGGGAGCTGTATGTTTGAGACACTCCTATAAAATAATGAGAAACAATAGTCTTTTTCTACCTCCCTGCTCCTGGTTCCCGCCTAGATTTAGCACATGGTCATTGTCAACATGAACAAACTGTATTGAATGCAGTTGGATTGTTGTTGGATATGGGTAGAGACACCCAGCTTGGCAGGAAGAACCAGGGAGGGGGTCCTGCTGTAACTGTGGAATAGATACATAGTGAGGCAGCTAAGTGTTCCCCACCAAAGCTTGAACCATCATACAGATGTTCTATTTCTGTTGTCTGTTTTAATATGTGAGATAGGTCAAACAATGTGAAAAACACTTGGCAGATGCTTTGAACAAATATTTTTAACTGAGGTTTAGTCCGTAGTCAGTCATTTTTTTGGATTTCAGCAGACTTGCACATTATCATGGTTGTACACATTTTAGTTTATTTGTGTCTGTATACATAATCTGCTTCAGTCTGGGCACTTACATGACAGTGTCACTGGATTGTTTTGTTATGTAAAACACTAACAACATTATTGACATGATACACACATTCAATTAAAAACTTTACTCCAACATGATGAAAATATAATTTGCACTCATCAGTATTTTTCAAGTTTTGTGATTTGCGCTCAAACTAAAATGTTGAATGTAGCTTTTTTTGATGAAGACCATAGATGTGTTTCCCAGTTTTCTTGTTGCTGTTGTTAAGCTCACACCACACTAATAATGTAATGAATGCTCCTCTATCAAATGACGAAAATTATTACAACCCATAGATGAATTCCACATTTTGACTTGTACCTGTTCATAACTTGTAAATTGTCTTCATTGAAGATTATCCTTATGTAATGTAAGTCATAGCCTAACACAAGTCTTGTCTTTGTAATGTTGACTTCTTTTTGTTTAGGAAAGTGGCATGTCGGGTTAAACTGGGCAGTGACACCAATGGTACATTTGGTTTTATTTGTTTGCATCCGAAGACAGAATAAATTCTCACATTTTCCAAGCTTGTTGTACTTCTATTTCAAACAGTTTCATCTTTGCTGCAGATTGGTTGTCAGTATATAATTTCTCAATTTTATATTCCAATACAGTAGAGGGCGGTGATGTGTTATTTTAGTAGCTTGCTTGCCAACGCAGAACCGTAGAAATTGATACGGGTCAGTTTATGGTACCACCAAAGATGATTTTTATAACTAAACTAAGATAGACCACAGCCAATCATTTTAAACGTAACAAATGAGCCATAGTGGGCAGAACAAGCAAGGAGGTGGGCAGAGCCAAGCACGAGCTAGTGAAATCCTATTGGCGCGTTCTAGCAATTATTTGCATATTTCTATTGGGGAACGCCTCTGTGAAGTGCGCAATAACAATTCGCCTTTGCACGCCTTCTAAACATCCCAATTTTTTAAAACTTTGTCAAAGGGTAAAGTCAACAAAAATTATTCAACTCTGTTCGTAACATATTGTAGTTTTGGGAACAGAAAACTGTATTGAGATCAAATGTTTAATCGATGAGTATACTAGCAGAATATCGTCCGAAATCCATATCGTTCCATCTTCTCCCACTGCCGGCCACAGGGCTTCCTCTCACTACCATATTTGGTAGTGAGTGGAAACGCCAACCGGATGCTTCAGATTTATATATCTGGTGAAATATCTGTCTCATTGTTCTATCTGTGGTACCACCGCCTACCACAAATCCACATACGATATAGCAAAAACTGACCGTATTATATTCAGGCAGTTCGGAAGCTACCCATGAAAAGATAAGGGGTCTTACTAGTTGCAAGGCGCAGCCAGCCAGGACAGAAAAGCAAAAAAGGCGCAAGCTCTGAGTACTTTGGAGTAAATAGCTAGCTGGGTAGTCAACGGAGTTTCTCTTTCTTTCAGGTAAAGTGTTTTAGTAAGGAGTGACTTGAACGGTTGTCTTAATTTATAAGAAGCTGTGCTTCCAGTCGTGGTCATTATTTTAAGATCATGGCTCCAACTATCCAGACACAAGCCCAGCGAGACTCAGACGGTCACAGGTAAATATCCTCTCCGATTTATTTTCTTGGCGTCAACTAGCTAACGTTAGATAACCTAGCTAATGACGACATGGCTAGTTAGCAATCATCGTGATTTACATATGTTCTGATTGTCCCGTGATAAGTTAACATAAGTTAAAGTATTGAAATGGGGACTGTTACACTTCCTATTTCTTCAGTCTATCAGCTGAGTGTGTAGCTAACAACTTGTTTTCTCTCTCCACATGTCTAGGAGTTCATCACACAGAACTGTTCCAGAGAGGTATGCATGCAGTTTGTTTGACATGTTTCAACAAAAGAGAGACTCAGTTACAGCTGAAGTTATTGTGTTTTTTAAATACAAAGGGGGTGGAGGGCTGGTGATATCATGGACAGATTAAAGGCCATATGACCATTAGGTAGTTATCTCTTTGGGTTATGAGGCATCAATGGTTGATAGAACATGTTTTTGATGACTACTTCTTCTCTGTACACTTTTGAAATGTGTGCTTCTGTGTTTGTCCCAACCAATCTCCCAGGTCCGGAGTGGTCTGTCGGGTAAAGTACTGCAACAGCCTGCCTGACATCCCATTTGATCCCAAATTCATCACATATCCATTTGACCAGCACAGGTAAACACCCTTGTTCCTTCTGCCATAAAGGTCAGTCGAGATGTTGCTATGTCTATTAAATGTATTGTAATTGGAGCCACAGTGTGCAGCTTTTATTTTTTAAGCCTTCTCCCATAAATGCCGTACTGCCACCGTACCTGACTCTGATGTTGCTGTCTGGTGTTGATAGGTTTGTGCAGTACAAGGCAACGTCGTTAGAGAAACAACACAAACATGAGCTGCTTACTGAGCCTGACCTTGGCGTCACCATCGACCTCATTAACCCAGACACCTACCGCGTCGACCCCAGCAGTATGTTTCTGAACAACACACACACACATTGTTATACCACACAGTCAGTATATTTTTGTGGTGGTTACTTGAAGCTTGTGTAGTATTGATTTAGAATCATCCCATCCTTATTTTTCTAGTTCTTCTGGATCCAGCTGATGAGAAGTTATTGGAAGAAGACATCACGGCTCCATCCAGCTCGAAAAGGTTTGGATACAGACTGTGTACCAGTCAATACAGTATCTTTGTGACAAAATTAAAGTCTTAATGACTTGGGATCTGTGCTATGAGCCTTTTGTTTGTCTTCCTGTAGATCTCAGCAGCACGCCAAGGTGGTCCCATGGATGAGGAAGACTGAGTACATCTCTACAGAGTTCAACAGATATGGAGTCTCCAATGAGAAAGTGGAAGTCAAGTGAGTGTGACCTAACAGGCTAGCTAACCACCACATTCAGCATACACACTTCCCATTTTATAGTGTTTTCTCTTTTTGTCCCACCCCTTCTAAAACCTATGTGTTCTGTCCTTAGGATCGGTGTGTCTGTCAAACAGCAGTTCACAGAGGAGGAGATATACAAGGATAGGGACAGCCAGATTGCTGCTATTGAAAAGACCTTTGAGGATGCACAGAAACCGGTGAGAGTGCCCCGTGTTTGGTACTGCACAATTCACTGTACTATATTCAGTCCAAATAGATCTTACAGTAACAACATCAAAGTCAATGTCCAGCTACACAGAGATCACACAGTTCATTGTATGCTCCTTCTAATATGAAGATTGCACTATCCTCTTTCATTCCATCACAAACAAAGTTATTGTACAGATGTTGGATCTTAATTGTACCTATATTGTCACAGCAACAGAATTTTAATGTTTAGTCCATAATGTTGCTTGATCGGTGGTTAGGCTATTAGCTGGTCAAAATGAGGCTACATGAAAAGTGGTATACTGTTAATATACAGTTGTGCACGGGGGCCTCCCACTCCTCTTTCTATTCTGGTTAGAGCCAGTTTGCGCTGTTCTGTGAAGGGAGTAGTACACAGTGTTCTACAAGATCTTCAGTTTCTTGGCAATTTCTCGCATGGAATAGCCTTCATTTCTCAGAACAAGAATAGACTGACGAGTTTCAGAACAAAGTTATTTGTTTCTGTCCATTTTGAGCCTGTAATCGAACCCACAATTGCTGATGCTCCAGATACTCAACTAGTCTCGAAGGCCAGTTTTATTGCTTCTGTAATCAGCACAACAGTTTTGGTCCTCTGTAGCTCAGCTGGTAGAGCACGGCGCTTGTAACGCCAAGGTAGTGGGTTCGATCCCCGGGACCACCCATACACAAAAAAATGTATGCACGCACGACTGTAAGTCGCTTTGGATAAAAGCGTCTGCTAAATGGCATATTATTATTATATTATTATTTTCAGCTGTGCTAACATCATTGCAAAATGGTTTTCTAATGATCAATTATGATCAATTAGCCTTTTTAAAATGATAAACTTGGATTGGCAAACACAACATGCCATTGGAACACAGGACTGATGGTTGCTGATAATGGGCCTCTGTATGCCTATGTAGATATTCCATAAAAAATCAGCCGTTTCCAGCTACAATAGCCATTTACAACATTAACAATGTCTACACTGTATTTCTGATCAATTTGATGTTATTTTAATGGACAAAAAAATTGCTTTTCTTTCGAAAACAAGGACATTTCTAAGTGACCCCAAACTTTTGAACAGTAGTGTACATGAGGACAGATGTTGGGGATCCTCTCATCCTGAGGTACATAATTTTTATTGAACGATGCCAATATGCAAACTAAATGGAAACTCTTCCCCCAGATTGCCCAGCACTACAGTAAACCCAGAGTCACTCCTGTGGAGGTGATGCCTGTGTTCCCTGACTTCAAGGTGAGCATCCATGACACTCAACAGGACATACAGTACCATTGTATTGGTCTTGGCTACCTATCTGTATTATGCCCATGGTCTTTGTTTCTGGGCATTCATTGGTTCCTGTATCTGTTCTAAGCTGGATCCGTTTAGCTGTTGTTGTCTAGCCCTATTGTGTTTTGGTAAAGAGTAAGCATTTGTGTGTTCTGTTCTCTGCTCCCCAGATGTGGATCAACCCGTGTGCTCAGGTAATCTTCGACTCTGATCCTGCTCCTAAAGACATGTCAGCACCCCAGGGTGTGGAGATGATGTCACAGGCCATGATTAGGTGAGGACAAAACATTGCCACATTGTGTGTGTGTGTCTGTGATTTTCTGTGACCATCCTGCACTATGACAATTTACATAATGTTCTGAATTGTTTATTGTTGTGCCCTGCAGAGGTATGATGGATGAGGAAGGAAACCAGTTTGTGGCCTACTTCCTGCCCAATGAGGAAACGATTCGCAAGCGCAAGAGAGATGTGGATGAGGAGCTGGACTACATGCCTGATGATCTGTGAGTAATCCAACAAGCATTTACACTAACCTTGAGTAGACAGGACACACCAACAATGATACTGATATATTAACTATACTATCTCTATCAATAATATTCAGTTTTCACATTGTCTACTTCCTCACACCTACTTGGTTCACCTTGTCCAAGTACAGAACCTGTATGATGTTGGAATCTCTGAAACACACTTACTGTAACATTGAACTAGATGTGATGAGGATGGTTTGTGTGTGTGTTCTAGGTATGACTATAAGATAGCCAGGGAGTACAACTGGAACGTGAAGAACAAAGCCAGCAAGGGCTACGAGGAGAACTACTTCTTTATCTTCAGAGACGGAGATGGAGTCTACTACAACGAGCTGGAGACCAGGTAACCATTGGTGGGGGTGGGGGTGGGGGGGGGGGTTCCTCATATTGGGGTCCTCATAGTGGGGTCTGTTGGGTTTACTTTAACAGGAGGTGATGTGGGATTCTCTTGGAAAAGAGAGTCACATTATTCTGGTAGATTTGTATTTGCTAGGGTGGGTTTAGTTTGTTTGTTTTGGCCTGAGGACACGAAACCTGTGAAGAAGGTTCTGACTGTTGTCCTGGATTGCAGAGTGCGGCTGAGTAAGAGGAGAGCTAAGGCTGGAGCCCAGTCTACTACAAATGCTGTGCTGGTGTGTAAGCACAGAGACATGAATGAGAAGGAGCTGGAAGCACAGGTGAGACTGCTAATCAGGCCCTCCTTTGGGGGGGGTCACCTTCTTTTGATGACCGCTGTTTTCTACACAGAGCATTACTTTCAATCTGTGGAAACTGTGTTTACTTAATAAGTGGACCTCAACACTGATAGAGATGAGCATGTAGTGCTGGACATAAGTAGACAAGTATACATTTGCAGAAATCTAAATAATCAGAGTAATAATGACATCTGTCTTTATGTCCATTAGGATGCGCGTAAGGCTCAGCTGGAGAACCATGAACCGGAGGATGAAGAAGAGGACATGGACTTGGGTAAACTGCAGGACTCTGGTCAGTCTCTCCCCTCTCTGTCCTTCCCAATGTTTACTACTGTGTCTGCAGAGGCTCTTTGTTTTACGACTGCTTCTTAGATCCATATTAACTAATTGTCTGTATCTGTTTGTCTCCAGGTGATGAGAAGGAGAAAGGCAGCGAGAGCGAAGGAGACAACTCTGACAGTGACTCTGACAGGGAGGATGAGGATGGAAAGCGGAGTGGAGCTGAGGATGATGAAGAGGAGGGAGCGAAGCGGAGGAGGAAGGCCAGTGGTAGCGGCAGTGAGAGTGGCGAGGAGGAGGTCAAGCTGGCGGATGAGGTGGAGATCTTCGGTAGCGACGATGACAGTGATGACGATGACAACGAGCCCAAGAATGGAGCAGCCCAGAGCAGCGGGGAGGAGGGCAGTGGGAGCGAGGAGGAGAAGGAGAGCCATAGGGAGAGGAGTAGGAGTGGCAGCGCGTCTCCGGCCCACAGTAGCGGTAGTGACCACTCAGAGGGCGGCCGCGCCCAGAGCGGGAGTGGCAGTGAGCAGGCCTCAGACTCCAGCGACGGCAGTGACAGTGAATAAAAGCCTAGGCCTTCTTACTGTGACAACACCGGCACACCATGCCTCACCCCCGAGCTCCAGCCAGCCCATGCTAACAAGCCCAACCCTCAGAACAGCCCTGTCTTTACAGAGTCAGTCTGAGGCCAGCAACTCATTCCTGTTGAGCGTTAGATTGCTACTTTTTTAGGAAAGACACAAATTCTAAGGGACTTCTACAAGGCTTTTGGGTACCTGTAAATGTCATTTACTCAAATCTGTCAGACTTTTGCTCATAGATATAGATGGAGCCACTATCTTAGTAGTTTTGTGTACAGTACATGCTTCATTGAACAAAATTCTTCCCTACCAACAATATATTTATTTTGTTCTTTTAAGCTGTTATTTTGTTCTTTTAAGTCTGAGTTTGTCTTTATGGTTTGTCTATTTCTCACTCAATATGAGGCACTTTCTTAAAGTGGTGTGAAAGCAGAAACATTTTTTTTGTTTAATTTTCTTGTGTGCATAAATCTGTTGAAAATAAGTTTGTTTCTTTGTCCTTAACGTTTGAGGATACAATGCATTATAAATGTAATTGGAACAGCCAATAAAATGCGGGAAAGTTTTGTAAGGAAAAGTGTTGCTTTTTTACGTTTTGTGCTAAACTTTCAAATGAGCATTCTCTTTTTCTGCCCATTTCTTGTCCCCCCTCCCCCCCAGAAACATTTTCCTTCCGAAGTGGTAATAATATAGCCTGGTCCCCGATCTGTTTGTGCTATCATGTCAACTCCTCGTCACTCATTCCACAAGGAGTTGTCAAAAGAGAGCAGAAAGACTGGCAACCAGGCTAGTAATAATGGTTTCTGAGTACAACTAGGGAATAAGAATGCAATAACATAAATGACAATATAAGCAATTTATTGCAAACCAGTAATGAAGTTAATGTACTGGTATGTTCAATACATGAACACAAGTGTCTCTTCAGTGAAAGAAATACAATTTGTTTATCAGCCACTCTTCAGACAAGTCATCTATGTTTCGCGTCTCAAAAACCTATTGAGAAAAAAGGGGTAGGATTAGGCTAAACATGCATATTTTCTGAACATTTTCTATTATGTTGTGAGTTTAGGGTTGGGCTTACGTTCAGATCATTATTGTTATCAGTCAATACTTTCTTTTTTTTTTCTTTAGGGGGTAGATCAGCTTTAATATTTCAGATTGTAACTTCCATCAATGTAATTGTCTGCATCACTTCTAATCCCCCATATGTTTTTTTTCTCGCACATATATATATATATATATATATATACACACAGTGGGGAGAACAAGTATTTGATACACTGCCGATTTTGCAGGTTTTCCTACTTACAAAGCATGTAGAGGTCTGTAATTTTTATCATAGGTACACTTCAACTGTGAGAGACGGAATCTAAAACAAAAATCCAGAAAATCACATTGTATGATTTTTAAGTAATTAATTTGCATTTTATTGCATGACATAAGTATTTGATCACCTACCAACCAGTAAGAATTCTGGCTCTCACAGACCTGTTAGTTTTTCTTTAAGAAGCCCTCCTGTTCTCCACTCATTACCTGTATTAACTGCACCTGTTTGAACTCGTTACCTGTATAAAAGACACCTGTCGACACACTCAATCAAACAGACTCCAACCTCTCCACAATGGCCAAGACCAGAGAGCTGTGTAAGGACATCAGGGATAAAATTTAGACCTGCACAAGGCTGGGATGGGCTACAGGACAATAGGCAAGCAGCTTGGTGAGAAGGCAACAACTGTTGGCGCAATTATTAGAAAATGGAAGAAGTTCAAGATGACGGTCAATCACCCTCGGTCTGGGGCTCCATGCAAGATCTCACCTCGTGGGGCATCAATGATCATGAGGAAGGTGAGGGATCAGCCCAGAACTACACGGCAGGACCTGGTCAATGACCTGAAGAGAGCTGGGACCACAGTCTCAAAGAAAACCATTAGTAACACACTACGTCGTCATGGATTAAAATCCTGCAGCGCACGCAAGGTCCCCCTGCTCAAGCCAGCGCATGTCCAGGCCCGTCTGAAGTTTGCCAATGACCATCTGGATGATCCAGAGGAGGAATGGGAGAAGGTCATGTGGTCTGATGAGACAAAAATAGAGCTTTTTGGTCTAAACTCCACTCGCCGTGTTTGGAGGAAGAAGAAGGATGAGTACAACCCCAAGAACACCATCCCAACCATGAAGCATGGAGGTGGAAACATTATTATTTGGGGATGCTTTTCTGCAAAGGGGACAGGACGACTGCACCGTATTGAGGGGAGGATGGATGGGGCCATGTATCGCGAGATCTTGGCCAACAACCTCCTTCCCTCAGTAAGAGCGTTGAAGATGGGTCGTGGCTGGGTCTTCCAGCATGACAACAACCCGAAACACACAGCCAGGGCAACTAAGGAGTGGCTCCATAAGAAGCATCTCAAGGTCCTGGAGTGGCCTAGCCAGTCTCCAGACCTGAACCCAATAGAAAATCTTTGGAGGGAGCTGAAAGTCTGTATTGCCCAGCGACAGCCCCGAAACCTGAAGGATCTGGAGAAGGTCTGTATGGAGGAGTGGGCCAAAATCCCTGCTGCAGTGTGTGCAAACCTGGTCAAGACCTACAGGAAACGTATGATCTCTGTAATTGCAAACAAAGGTTTCTGTACCAAATATTAAGTTCTGCATTTCTGATGTATCAAATACTTATGTCATGCAATAAAATGCAAATTAATTACTTAAAAATCATACAATGTGATTTTCTGGATTTTTGTTTTAGATTCCGTCTCTCACAGTTGAAGTGTACCTATGATAAAAATTACAGACCTCTACATGCTTTGTAAGTAGGAAAACCTGCTAAATCGGCAGTGTATCAAATACTTGTTCTCCCCACTGTACATACATACAGTGGGGAAAAAAAGTATTTAGTCAGCCACCAATTGTGCAAGTTCTCCCACTTAAAAAGATGAGAGAGGCCTGTAATTTTCATCATATGTACATGTCAACTATGACAGACAAAATGAGAAAAGAAATTCCAGAAAATCACATTGTAGGATTTTTTATGAATTTATTTGCAAATTATGGTGGAAAATAAGTATTTGGTCAATAACAAAAGTTTCTCAATACTTTGTTATATACCCCTTGTTGGCAATGACACAGGTCAAACGTTTTCTGTAAGTCTTCACAAGGTTTTCACACACTGTTGCTGGTATTTTGGCCCATTCCTCCATGCAGATCTCCTCTAGAGCAGTGATGTTTTGGGGCTGTCGCTGGGCAACACGGACTTTCAACTCCCTCCAAAGATTTTCTATGGGGTTGAGATCTGGAGACTGGCTAGGCCACTCCAGGACCTTGAAATGCTTCTTACGAAGCCACTCCTTCGTTGCCCGGGAGGTGTGTTTGGGATCATTGTCATGCTAAAAGACCCAGCCACGTTTCATCTTCAATGCCCTTGCTGATGGAAGGAGGTTTTCACTCAAAATCTCACGATACATGGCCCCATTCATTCTTTCCTTTACACGGATCAGTCGTCCTGGTCCCTTTGCAGAAAAACAGCCCCAAAGCATGAAGTTTCCACCCCCATGCTTCACAGTAGGTATGGTGTTCTTTGGATGCAACTCAGCATTCTTTGTCCTCCAAACACGATGAGTTGAGTTTTTACCAAAAAGTTATATTTTGGTTTCATCTGACCATATGACATTCTCCCAATCCTCTTCTGGATCATCCAAATGCACTCTAGCAAACTTCAGACGGGCCTGGACATGTACTGGCTTTAGCAGAGGGACACGTCTGGCAATGCAGGATTTGAGTCCCTGGCGGAGTAGTGTGTTACTGATGGTAGGCTTTGTTACTTTGGTCCCAGCTCTCTGCAGGTCATTCACTAGGTCCCCCCGTGTGGTTCTGGGATTTTTACTCACCGTTCTTGTGATCATTTTGACCCCACGGGGTGAGATCTTGCGTTGAGCCCCAGATCGAGGGAGATTATCAGTGGTCTTGTATGTCTTCCATTTCCTAATAATTGCTCCCACAGTTGATTTCTTCAAACCAAGCTGCTTACCTATTGCAGATTCAGTCTTCCCAGCCTGGTGCAGGTCTACAATTTTGTTTCTGGTGTCCTTTGACAGCTCTTTGGTCTTGACCATAGTGGAGTTTGGAGTGTGACTGTTTGAGGTTGTGGACAGGTGTCTTTTATACTGATAACAAGTTCAAACAGGTGCCATTAATACAGGTAACGAGTGGAGGACAGAGGAGCCTCTTAAAGAAGAAGTTACAGGTCTGTGAGAGCCAGAAATCTTGCTTGTTTGTAGGTGACCAAATACTTATTTTCCACCATAATTTGCAAATAAATTCATTAAAAATCCTACAATGTGATTTTCTGGAAATTTTTTTTCTCAATTTGTCTGTCATAGTTGACGTGTACCTATGATGAAAATGACAGGCCTCTCTCATCTTTTTAAGTGGGAGAACTTGCACAATTGGTGGCTGACTAAATACTTTTTTTCCCCACTGTACATATACACACACATATATACATACATCCATACACACATACACACATATCCTTTTTAAAATTATATTTCCCTTAATTACTTTCCAAGCCCACCACCCCTTCCCCAACTGGAGTAAACTAGTGAACAACAACGTTTAGGCCTCGACTTCCAGCCCATACATACTATATACATTTGATGGACACAGTCAAATTCTACAATAATTATATTTTGTTTGTTTTTACTCCTGAACTTCCTCCGATCATTTTCATGATGTCCATCTGGTTTGCTTCTATATGCCATATTTTTCTAACTGTGCTCTTTCACAAAAGCTCTCAACCTATAACCTATATACTTATTATGGACACAGTATGCTTTACATTCGTTATCTTGTTGTTATTAGTCCCATCCTTCAGCTCCATTCAACACCTCCCATCTATCTCTTAACACCATCCATATTGAATATCTATTTGCCATATATTATTCAACTGTACTGTGATGTTTTACAAATCAGTCAATACTTGAAACAGACAATAGTCCTGACCTTTGTGAGCTCTGCTGCGGAGACCAGTTGGTTCTTGCTGCCTGCGTACATCATTTGCTGCTCAGGCTTGTACCCTGTTGAGATGAGGAGGGTGTATAAGCCACAGATGTATGTCCACTGAACCTTTTTGATCTCTCCATATGATAAATATTGATTGAATCTCATCTTTACTTTCAATTATCATCACTTACTACCTTCAAAAAGTGATATTGTGCAAAGGGATGTTGCAGCACATCAATGCTAATCCTTCACTCAATTGGCTGTTCACTGAATTAGGGTGAATTACTCACCCACTGGACTTGAGAATATGAAACAGTCGGTAGAACCCCCTGCCATCTGTATGGACGTATTTGTAACTGTAAACAATGAATGTACACTATATTGTCAAGGAAATCCAATCACTGATCAATGATACAACTCAACACTGGCAGTGCTGGTGAATATGAGGTTAACATAGATTTCTGCTGTTTCACTCCGACATGTTATAAAAGGATATCTTGGCTGCCGCTCGGGAAGTTCATTCCTCAGGTCATCCAGGGAGATGTCCTGAAATGTGAGAGCATGTTTTGAGTTGAACTGTTATTGATAAAGGTGTGGATGGATTTTAGTAATTATTAACTCAGTATGGGATATTCAACATCTCAGAAAGACAACGTAACTTGCCTCATACTCCTCCTCCAGGATCACAAGCTGTTTCTCCATGTCAATTTTCACTGAGGGAATAGGATAATTATTCTATATTGAGTCCTAGACATACAGTATGTTTTTTTTAATTAGGTGAAACAGATGACAGTTGGGCTACTGAGGAACATGTTTTCAATTAAGTCTTACTCACTCAGGATGGCTGCATTGTTGGTCTCTTTTCAAAATCTAAACTTCTTCAATTTTTCTTTCACACATCCACCTCGCACACAACCAGAGAGCTTGACTAGAATGTAAAAGTGAAACAAGTTTATCAACCGTGGGAAGTTTTGACACATTGTAATTGTATATGTTGGTTATATTGCTACTGTCAGACTACATCATTGAAAGTTCTGTCATATTTCACTCAGTGAGAGAGAGAGATGAGGGGGAGGGGGCAGAAAAGGGGGAAAAGAGAGAGGGAGGGATACAGAAAAATAGGTTTTAGAGCAACTTGTTTTGATTTCTGAAGTGCTAGAACGCATGAACGCATAGATCATAACAAAATCTTAAAGTGACATATTGAGGCCAGGAAGTGCATTTGTTGCATCATGGGACAAAAAAACTTCCTGTGTCAAGAGGATGGGAGGGGAAAATAAATGTACGCCTGCCTAAAAACCTTTACAACATAAACTAGGACATCACCGTCCATGCCAAAATACATTTTCTTGGTAAAGTGCAATATCGTATAAATAAACGGTCTCCCATACCATTCTAGAAGAGATTTTATTTTGGTTTCTTGCCTGCAAAGATACTGTCTTCTTGTTGAGGCAGTTCCTCCTCGGCCAACTGCTTGTGACAGGATGCTGTCTGACTCTCAAGATCATCCTTTTCTGTAGTAGCACATACTGTAGGGGAGGGCAGACATTAACAAATACTAGAGCATCCACCAGTACCATCTCCCCGCACTGTGTCAGATCTAGCCTTCTTGAGACTGACTAATGTTAGGGATGTCGTTAGTTCTATCTGTCTACAATCCTTTGTCGCTGTATCTGGCAGCAAATCATGCCTTTGTAATAATACAATGTTGTATACCCAAAATAAGTAATGTTGCAATAAGATAAAATAACAAAGTGATATTGTCTTTTCACATTTGTTTAATGGGTGCAGTCAGAGAAAGCTGAGCATTCTTTGATAATCTGATTCATTCTACATATGAGTGTTTTTAGCCTTTATTTCAAGAAATGGAAAAGTCACTGTCTGTGTCCTCTGTAATTTCTATCTTCATTCCTCAAACGTTAATCTAACTGATCAAATGCAATCAAGCCAAATATGTTTGTTTGAGATCAAGGAGTTGAACTTGAATGACCAGAGTGCTTGGTTTGACAGGGGCTAGCCATTATATCAGAGAGGAAGAGGCGAAGAGAGAGGGATAACTGGGCAATATCTGTCAAATCATCAAATCAAATTGTATTTGCCACATGCACCGAATACAGCAAGTGTAGACCGTACAGTAAAATGCTTACTTACAAGCCCTTAACCAACAATGCAGTTTTTAAAAAATAAAGTGTTAAGTAAAAAATAAAAATAAAAACAAAATAATTCAAGAGCAGCAGTAAAATAACAGTAGCGAGGCTATATGCAGGGGGTACCGGTACAGAGTCAATGTGCGGGGGCACCGGTTAGTCGAGGTAATTTAGGTAATATGTACATGTAGGTAGAGTTAAAGTGACTATGCATAGATAATAAACAGAGTGGCAACAGCATAAAAGGGGGGGGGGGGGGGGGGGGGGACAATGCAAATAGTCCTGGTAGCCATTTGATTAAATGTTCATGAGTCTTATGGGTTGGCGGTAGAAACTGTTAAGAAGCCTTTTGAACCTAGACTTGGCGCTCCGGTACTGCTTGCCGTGCAGTAGCAGAGAGAACAGTCTATGACTAGGGTGGCTGGAATCTTTGACAATATTTAGGGCCTTCCTCTGACACCACCTGGTATAGAGGTCCTGGATGGCAGGAAGCTTGGCCCCAGTGATGCACTGGGCCGTACGCACTACCCTCTGTAGTGCCTTGCGGTCGGAGGCCGAGCAGTTGCCATACCAGGTAGTGATGCAACCAGTCAGGATGCTCTCGATGGTGCGGCTGTAGAACTTTTTGAGGATCTGAAGACCCATGCCAAATATTTTCAGTCTCCTGAGTGGGAATAGACTTTGTTGTGCCCTCTTCACGACTGTCTTGGTGTGTTTGGACCATGATAGTTTGTTAGTGATGTGGACACCAAGGAACTTGAAGCGCTCAACCTGCTCCACTACAGCCCCGTCGATGAGAATGTGGGCGTGCTCGGTCCTCCTTTTCCTGTAGTCCACAATCATCTCCTTTGTCTTGATCATGTTGATGGAGAGGTTGTTATCCTGGCACCACACGGCCAGGTCTCTGACCTCCTCCCTATAGGATGTCTCATCGTTGTCGGTGATCAGGCCTACCACAGTTGTGTCGTCGTGTTGAGGATCAGCGTGGCAGATGTGTTGTTACCTACCCTTACCACCTGGGGGCGGCCCGTTAGGAAGTCCAGGAACCAGTTGCAGAGGGAGGTGTTTAGTCTCAGGGTCCTTATCTTAGTGATGAGCTTTGAGGGCACTATGGTGTTGAACGCTGAGCTGTAGTCAATGAATAGCATTCTCACGTAGGTGTTCCTTTTGTCCAGGTGGGAAAGGGCAGTGTGGAGTGCAATAGAGATTGCATAATCTGTGGATCTGTTGGGGCGGTATGCAAATTGGAGTGGGTCTAGGGTTTCTGGGATAATGATGTTGATGTGAGCCATGACCAGCCTTGCAAAGCACTTCATGGCTACAGACGTGAGTGCTACTGGTCTGTAGTCATTTAGGCAGGTTACCTTAGTCTTCTTGGGCACAGGGACTATGGTGGTCTGTTTGAAACATGTTGGTATTACAGACTCAGTCAGGGACAGGTTGAAAATGTCAGTGAAGACACTTGCAAGTTGGTCCGCGCATGCTCGGAGTACACATCCTGGTAATCAGTCTGGTCCTTGTGGATGTTGACCTGTTTAAAGGTCTTACTCACATCGGCTACGGAGAGCGTGATCACACAGTCGTCCGGAACAGCTGATGCTCTCATGCATGCTTCAGTGTTGCTTGCATCGAAGCCCAAATATAAGTAATTTAGCTCATCTGGTAGGCTTCTGTCACTGGGCAGCTCATGGCTGTGCTTCCCTTTATAGTCTGTAGTAGTTTGCAAGCCCTGCCACATCTGACGAGATTTGGAGCCGGTGTAGTAAGATTAAATCTTAGTCCTGTATTGGCGCTTTGCCTGTTTGATGGTTCGTCGGAGGGCATAGCCGGATTTCTTATAAGTGTCCGGGTTAGAGTCCCGCTCCTTGAAAGCAGCAGCTGTACCCTTTAGCTCAGTGCGGATGTTGCCTGTAATCCATGGCTTCTGGTTGGGGTATGTAAGTACGGTCACTGTGGGGAGGACGTCATCATGCATTTATTGATGAAGCCAGTGACTGATATAAGTAGGATACGTGACATCCCGGTACTTTTGTGAAAAAAACATTTATATCGGAGTTCTTCTTCACATGCGTATCTGCCCTCTCATTGGCTATAATGGTCCAACCTGATCTTGCCTCCTCCCGACTGCCTTACATTTTTAAAGCAATTTATTTCCATTGTTAGAGCGGCCACTTGAGTATCTTGTCAATATAATGGATAATCTGTGATCATATCCATCATCTTCAACCCAGGAGTGGTGTGGGCGTTTGCGTTTCATCCGCTAGGTGGGGCACTTTTCTCTTTGTTTACCCCGCCCAAACGCCATTACGTTGGTCCCCAACGTTGCGTCAAGTCTGAATCGAAGTAGGCTAGCTAGATATCGCCAAGCGTACTTTCCATATTTCTCTGTGTTCAAATAAACATTTTGTACATAGCTAGACTCTTGTAAATGTTATCTTTGAAATAATCAGAAAATTATTATTTTCAAAGCAATCAACGACAACTGTTGGATCGAAATCTTAACCTCATCCAGCGTTTATAAATGAAGCAAATAGCTACTTGCTAGCGATTTAGCGGCTAGCTGCTACGTTAGCTAGCTAATCGTTAAGGGAGCTAACTAGCTAACAAGTGACAATTCACAAAGGTAAACAAACCAACCGCTAGAAGTTGAAGGGTGGGGTGTGGATATAATTTATGTAACCTGGCGTGTTTTTTGCTAAATGGACCATGGAGGACCTTTGCAACGCGAGGACTGTAATATCGTTTAACGAGATGAGAAATAGAGCGACATTCCAACAGCAACGTCGCTACTGAAAAACAATACCAATCCTCAATCCCTCATCCATTTACACGGTGAAACCCATCCGTGAAGGCCTGGTGTTAGTTTTTAGCTAGCTAACTGCCCCTAGCCCATCAAATCCACCCCTATGCAGTAGACTGCAACAGCCGTGCCCTGGAAACGTCACCGTTGTCACACAGGTTTGTTTTTACGTTTTCTGACTAGCTAGCTTAGCTAACTATATGTATGGCCTTGTGAAACGTACGTTAGCTAGCTAACTTACCATATGTAAGGCTGCGAGTTAACGTTAACTAGCTGTGATAGCTAACGTTAAATATATTTTTTTAGACCCTCTTTTGTTTGATCCTGAGTTGACATAGCTACCAAAGTAAGCTAGCTAGATAACTACGTCTACAAACCAACTAGCTAGATGATTAGCTTTGTAGGTACTGTAGGCACTTGGTACTGGACTGGTCTCTTATGTTAGCGTTAGCTAGCTAGCTAGGTAACGTTAGCCTAGTTAGAATAACCACCCTTCCTATTTGATAGCTACTACTAATACAGCCCCTCCTAGCCAGAGCTTAGCTACTAACGTAACGTTCTGCTCTTTTGATCAAATCAAGTTATGGTTTTAAAACTTGGACAAATATATATATATATAGGTTGCTGGCTGGGCTGGTCTCAGAGCATTTCGTATTGTTCTGTACGTAAATCCGAGACAATCCATTTATTATATGTCACGTTTCGTATGGTATGTATTAATTTGTGGATGTCCAACCCCATTTCGTATGATATGTTACGAATTACAATTCGTATATATATTACGAATTTGCTAAATGTATAATCTTACGAATTCTGACTAGGTGGCTAACGTTAGCTAGCTGACTAACATTAGCTCAGCTAGGGGTTAAGTTTAGGAGTTAGGTTAAAGGGGAAGGGGAAGCTAACATGTTAAGTAGTTACAAAGTAGCTAAAAAGTAGTAATTAGTTGAAAAGTTGCGAATTAGCTAAAGTTGTTGGTGATGATATTTGAAGTAGCAACCCTTTGGGTTGCTAGACGTTCTCGTTATACTGCCACCCATCTACCGAGACCAACCACTTGACTTTTGTTTTTTCCTTAAGTAACCATCTGTCTTATGTCACCATACCAATCATAACATATTATACTAATTTGAATGCCTCGGATTTACATTGACGATGTCACGTCTAGTCTATGAGACCAGGCTGGTCTATATATGTAAAGGAAACATAGCTTAATAACAGCTAGGCATTGCAAGTTACAGTACCCACCACTCAGGTGGTCATTGCAATACTGGGAGGGTTGGATGACAGTTTCTCATTTGATTGATCGTGCCATTACTTTACCCTGTAATAAGCTGTATTGCGAGTCAACATATTATTTATTGTTCTAAGAATAAATGACAGCCATGTAGATTGCATGGAGATAATGTAGTCTTAGTTTTTTGCTTCAGGTCAAATACACTCATGGATTGACTGGGCAGCTAGGCCTAGATGTTGGCTTTATCAAACTTTCACAGATGTTGGTTGAATGGTCAGGAAAAATGTGCGTGCATGCATACTGCATGGAAGTTCTCTACCATAACCTGTGTTAATGCTGAGGTGATGATGCTGGTAATAATGTGCTCTACTTTCACTGCACCATGAAGCTGATTATCTTGCATTATGATTAGCTGGCCTAAATAAAGAATATGCATTAGCATGTTGTACAGAGACCATCTTTACACTGTGTCTCTACAATATAGAAGGACAATTCCACGGTAACGGAGTGATACTAGCTAGCCAGAGATGTTTCCATCAACTTGACTTGTTGCAGATAAAAGGCTGTGCGTGATGTGGTAGTGCACATAACAATACCTTTTGCGGTTACATTTCCATGTATGGAATGAAAAATACAAGTTCAATGAGTTTCTATAATATTTTCAACTCTACTGATTGTTTTCTCACAAAACAATGTTGCGTTATATAGTGAGTGTGCCCGATCTGGTGTTGGTACGTGCACTCTAGACAATAGCGCTATATGCGCGCTGTTGGCTAGAGCACACGTATAGCCTACATCAGGGATGTGCAACTGGGGTGCATGGCCCCCGTTTGTAGGCCCTTGACCAATTAAAAATTAAAAATAACACTTTTTTTTAGTTACTCAGTCGGGGTCTCAACTTACTGTTGAGAGTTAGAATACACAAGGTGACATTTCGAAATGTGGTTGTGCATCAGCAGCCACTCAATTAGCCCATGTCAGCAAAAATGTTTTTAGATTGGTACATTAGTCTAGGGGCCAGCTATCTAAACTTGTAGTAAGCATGTTCGAAATGCCAACCAGGGTGGGACCCATTGATCATTAGTTATCATATTAAAAACTGCAAACATTTGCCTCCGCCCTATGGCTAAATGAGTAGAATTGCATGTAATTACTTATAAAATTGCTAAATCTTCATTCTGTCCATGGCAAAATGTGCAGAATAGCAGGAAATGAACTTTAAAACTTTTTTTTAAATCTTCGCTGTCACGAGGGGGGGCCGCTAAAATGTTTTGCTCGCAAGATGGGATGTGGGTACGCAGACCCACCAGCCACTATGGCCCCTCATGATGAGTTCCGTTTTTTTGTGTCCCCCACCCCCATCAAAGTTGCCCATCCCTGGCCTACATGTCAAACGGCAGCCAAGCATTGATTATCATGTCACCAGAATAAGACCCTCTATTTATTGGAAAGGAGCATCAAGCTCATCACCTTGCACTTTCACCACCCTGTGAAGTTCATCATAATTTATTTAATCTGTAGCCTAATAAACTGCATGCTTTCCTGACAAGTCATAGTGGGAGGACCACACAACATGTCATTGCTTGACTCCAAATGTACTTATTTAAAGTTCTTATTATATCTATGTTTGAGCATAAAATAGTTTCCACTGACATTTCTTGCATAATTCATTTTACTGACACAAAAAGATCCCACCTTGTCTAGCGTATTTTGTTTTGTCGACATTTGGAAAGATTACTGAAAAATCGTATGTTTCCATCAGGCTGCCATGACATTTTTTTATTCGACATGTACTTTACTGGCATAAAAAGGTTGGATGGAAACCTGATTACCGAGACTCAGATTTTTCAACTTTAAAATGTATGTCAAACAAAAACAAATAGTTGCAAAGTTAAACAAACCATACAACTCTATGAACAAGGACTAGCCTACTTTTAACAATTCCCACAGAAAATTTTACAAAAACATATTTACTTGAGCAGTTTGTGCAGTCATTCTGTTCTTCAAGTAAATGTGTTTTGGTTAAATTTTCTGTGGAAATTGTTAAAGGTAGTCATTGTGCATAGTGTTTTATTGTTTTTCTAAGCTTTATGATCATTGTTCATTTTACCGACACAGGAAGATCCCACCATGTCGAACGAACTTTGTCTGTTGACATTTCTGAAACTGTGGATGGAAACGTGGTTAGTGTCAGATTTCCTGATTGGCCCGTGTTGTAAGTTTGTGTTTGTCTCACATGATGGTTATTATCTTGGAGCCACAGTATATTGAAATAAATAAACACAGTAAATGTGTTTGTAGATGGCCCTCACTCAAGCCTGTGGTCTGTGGCAGTCATGCCACCATGTTGATATTGGTTAGTTCAATGTATTGCATGAACAGCATTTCTGGTATTGGGATTTCATCATCAAGTGGTCATGATCAGGGTTCAGTACTAGCATCAAATTCCTAGTTAAATTACACTGAACAAAAATATAAACACAACATGCAACAATTTCAAAGATTTTACTGAGTTACAGTTCAAATGAGGAAATCAGTCAATTGAAATAAATTCATTAGGCCCTAATCTAAGGATTTCACATGACTGGAAATACAGATATGCATCTGTTGGTCACAGATACCATAAAAAATGGGCCTCAGGATCTCATCACGGTATTTGTGTGCATTCAAATTGCCATAGATAAAATGCAAATGTGTTCGTTGTCCGTAGTTTATGCCTGCCCATACCATAACCCCACCGCAACCATGGGGCACTCTGTTCACAACGTTGACATCAGCAAACCCCTCGCCCACACGATGCCATACATGTGGTCTGCGGTTGTGAGGCCGGTTGAACGTACTGCCAAATTCTCTTAAACAACGTTGGATGCGGCTTATGGTAGAGATATTAACATTCAATTCTCTGGCAACAGATCTGGTGGACATTCCTGCAGTCTGCATGCCAATCGCACGCTCCCTTAGAACTTGACACATCTGTGGGATTGTGTTGTGTGACAAAACGGCACATTTTAGTGGCCTTTTATTGTCCCCAGCACAAGGTGCACGTGTAATGATCATGCTGTTTAATCAGCTTCTTGATATGCCACACCTGTCAGGTGGATGTATTATCTTGGCAAAGGAGAAATGCTCACTAACAGGGATGTAAACAAATATGTGCACAACATTTTAGAGAAATGTGCTTTTTTTTCTGCGTAATTTCTCAATCTTTTATTTCAGTTCATGAAACATGGGACCAACACTTTACATGTTGCGTTTTATATATTTGTTCAGTGTATCTTATGTACTTTTCCCTTCCCTGTTGATTTGTTAGGATTTGGATGATGCTGACACTGATGAACCTGAGAGAGAACCCTCCTTCTGTCTAAGACACAACCAGCTGGATTTAACACGCCCTCTCCCAGCCCTCCCCTCAGCACCCCCATCTCCTGCACCTGAACCATGTGAGGGCCCCTCGCTCTACTTTGAGGGGATCCCAGGACTGTTGTATAAAAGCAGCCGCTGAGCGGGGCCAGAGTGAACCTGTGTGTGAGCAAGCAGTCTTCCCCCTAACCCCCCACCCACATATTCCCACCCCCCCTTCCCGTTGGGAACGCGCCATGATGTTCCGAGACCAGGTGGGCATCCTGACGGACTGGTTCAAGAGCTGGAACGAGTGTGAGCAGACGGTGGCGCTTCTGTCCCTGCTGAAGAGAGCGTCTCGTACCCAGGCCCGCTTCCTGCACATCTGCCTGGAGCACTGGCTGGCAGACTGCACTGAGATCCACATCCTGGAGGCTGAGGCCAACAATGCAGGTAGCTAATGACTGCAGATTTCTGAAGGACACATTTGAAACCCTATTGGATTAGCCATGTTGCATTACCGGTATACCTTGTCTTACAGTGTAAAAACCTTGTGTAACAGATAGACCTACGACCTGTAAAAATGTATTTTACTTGTAATGAACTGCCCCTCTGTCCCTCCCCTCTCCAGACATTGTGAGCCAGTGGCACCAGGAGCCCATGGAGAAGGCGGTGTCCCTGCTGCTGTCCCACCTGCCCCTGCTGCAGCCCCGCAACAGCGAGGCCAAGTGTGAGTACATGAAGCTACTGCAGAAGGTGCTAAGCTACACCATCGAGAGCAGCCTGTTTGTGGAGGAGAGCAGACAGCTGCTGTCCTACGCCCTCATCCACCCGGCCACAACCCTGGACGACCGCACCTCGCTGGCCATGTGGCTCAACCACCTGGAGGAGCACCTCTCCAGTGGCTACCCAGCGCCCTCCTCCCGGCCCCCCTCCGGCCCCTACCACCCCCGTCAGGGCTCAGATGAGTGGCCGGGCTCCGCAGAGGGCCTGGACCCTGGCCACGGCTGGCTGGACAAACCCCCCTCCTCCAGCTCCTCCCCTGCAGGGCAGAACGGACACATGTCTTTCCAGGGTGGGATGCCCTCGCCCATCAACAGCAACAACGCAGGTCAGTGGTTCACATCTCCTACCATGCCAGAGTGAGGGTGAGAAAGGGGTGAATAGGCATATACTAAACGTAACTGAGATACAATACAACTTTTTGTGGTTATGTAATCATGCTCAACTATTTAGTCTGTGATCTTTGTCATGATTGTCACAACTTTGTAAATAGTCTGTCTGTATAGGCCCAGCCTTCATTAAAGTGATTGTTTCTAACATCCTGCCCCTCCTGTGTCACCTGCCAGGCATGGGTCAGATGGGCCAGCCCAGTCCTCTGAAGAGGTCCTTGTCCCTGATCCCCTCCAGTCCCCAGGTCTGTGGCTCAGATTGGCTGAGCCAGGACGACCTGGTGGGGAGACAGGCCTTTGACCACGCGCCCCTGTCCCCCCAGAGTAGTGTGGCATCCTCAGGCAGCGAGCAGACTGAGGACCAGGGCTCCAGAAACACCTTCCAGGAGGACGGCAGTGGCATGAAAGGTCAGGAGGTCAACCATAACACGCCAGGGGTTCAAAGCTAACAACAGGCCAGGGGCGGTCACATTGTTGTTGGTATTTCACTCTGGGAAAAGCCATGCCAACAGCTACTGCACTTGGTAATGGTGGAATTGCCTTTTCAGTGGGATGCTATTTTCTTTTGTCCCCTCGTGTTTTTTTGTTTGTTTGTGTGTGCTCCAGATGTCCATGAAAAATAAGTAGGACAGCGTTCTCCAACTAATAGATCTGAAGTATTTATTTTGACATGCACTGCACGGATGCGTCAAGCATTCCACAGCAATATCTATTATTCGTTAGTTCTATCCTTCTCGTTGTTCAGTGACTAGAGTTACAAGGACTCAGCAGGAGTAGAATAACATGTTATGAGCATGTTGTTTTTCTACTTTCTGTTTCAGATGTGCCCATGTGGCTGAAGAGCCTCCGTCTTCATAAATACGCAGCCCTTTTCTCCCACATGACTTATGAGGAGATGATGATTCTGACAGAGCACCACCTGGAGTCACAGGTTTGTCATCGTTTGTCACAGGTTGGTCAGCTTCTCACGTTAGTCCTCTCTCTCTTTCCCCTGCCCTCCTCATCAGGGCTTTATAGATATGGCCTGTGTATTGTCCTCCAGCATAGTGATACCTCAGCCCTCAATGAGCCATGAAATTAAGCATCGCTGCACCCTACAGTTATACACATCCTCCCTGCGCAGATAAACGATGCCGTCTTGGCTCTGATCCATAGCTTTAATGAAACCGCTGGTGATCAGGAGTGTTATTTAGTAACTGGATATCTGGATGTCCGTGTTGCTGTGAGCAGTTAACTCTTCGTCTTCTTCCAGAATGTGACCAAAGGTGCGCGGCACAAGATAGCCCTGAGTGTCCAGAAGCTACGAGAGAGGCCAAGCGTTCTCAAGTCTTTAGAGAAGGTAAACCACATGCTGTCACCACTATTATTTTAAAAGCATTTCAGATGCATTTTTATCTGGTAATAGCCATGTTGTTCTGAACAACTTAACTGTTAGTTTCCATTTGGATCCCTGTAGCTTAGATGGAAAAATCCAATTAAATGTGAATGAACATATCCACTATAATAATCACAAATATTGTAGATATGCTACGACTCACATTTTCTTTCATTGAAAAGTTGAGCAGCAATTCCATGACAATTTCCTGTCACACTTCAAGACAGCTTTGCTAATAAGATAATGCTATGATTGATCCAACAGGATATATTGGAGGGGGGCAACCTGCGTAACGCCCTACAGGAGCTACAGCAGGTTATCATCACCCCCATCAAGATCTACAGCTACAGCCCTCCCAGTGTTTCCCACAGGGACATGGACGGGAGTGGATCCCCCTCAGAACACTCCAACCCTGGGGAGGACAAGGACCTGGCCCAGGAGGGCTTCCAGCCCCACAACCCCCCTCCCTGCGACGGGGAGTCCTCAGCCACGCCCATCTCAGACGGTGACATTGCTGGCCAGTTCACGCGTGTCATGGGTAAAGGTATGAATGGACAAGGCTTTTACAGGGCTGAGTACGTGTACATGTATATCGTGCATTTGGACAATTGTTACTCTTGTTTGTAATTGTGTGCTGTGCACTTGTTTGTGTGGATGTGAGGTGTGTGTTTTGTTTGGAATGAGTATTGGAGGGGGTGTGTGGGTGTTGTGTAGCATTGTGTGAACCTCCTGTCCGTGTGTTGCAGTGTGCACTCAGCTACTGGTGTCACGGCCAGACGAGGAGAATATCAGCTGTTACCTGCAGCTCATTGAGAAATGTCTGACACATGAGGTGAGACCGCGCAAAACCACATCTATAAAATAAAGACATTTAAACCTTTTCACATACAGCTAGCTGGTGGTTTAAAATGTGACACGGCTGCAAATGATGTGTAACAACACCTAATGCTCCTCTCAATGGTATGTTGCATATAGAATTTTCACTGCACTAAGAAATCAATTTTATTTTTCATTTTCCCCCCCTGCTATGTTTGAACCATGACCAGGAGTTCAAACACTTTCTCTCTCTCTCTCTCTATCCAATTAAAATGTGTATCTTGCCCTCTCAACTGGGGTGAAGTATTTGATGTCTCTAGCTACCTGTTTGAAACCCTGATCCTGATGATTTCTCTCTCGGTCTCTTTTACTTCTCTCTCTCTCTCTCTCTCTCACCATCTCTCTTACCTCGCTCTTATCGCTCTCTCTCTCATTCTCTCTCTCTCTCAGGCTTTCACAGAGACTCAGAGGAAGAGGCTGGTCTCCTGGAAGCAGCAGGTTCTCAAGCTGCTCCGCCTGTTCCCAAGGAAAGCCATGCTGGACATGCCTGTGTACCGACAGAAAGGGTAAGAGAACTGAACTAAGAGAACTGAACAGGTCATGGCAGCTGAGAGTCTCTCTCTCTCTCGCGCTCTCCCCCCCCCCCCCCCCCCCCCCATCATCTGGATTTCCCCCAGGGCTCTGTCTGATAACTGTTCTCTCTGCCTCCTCTAGCTGGGCGTATGGTTCCAACTCCCTCCCCACAGCAGGCTCTGTGAGTGCTGGGGGTCTGGCACGTAGGGGGCAGAGGGTATTCCAGATGCCCGCTCGTGGCCTCCCTGCCGGGCGCATGGGTCTCCTGAGTCCAGGTGGCATCGGGGTTGCCTCCCCACGCCACACCCTCACCAGCCCTGCACTGCCAGGCCAGGGCAGACAGGTCAGTCATAGGATGGGATCATGTCATATAGTCTGGGGCATTGAATACACCCACTGAAGTTCACATATAGAAAAGTCAGATTCATTCACGAGATAATACATTTTCTAAGAAGTCTTTGTCATTGAGGGTTGCAGCTAGTTAGCCAACATTAGATTTGACATTCGATTATATTGATCTACACGTTATTATACCCACATAGTGATGAACTATCCTTAGACAACATTTTTTTGACAGATAAACAAGTGCAACCACATAAAGTGCTGACAGTTTAATCAATGCAATACCCAGGGCAACACGTGGGTTAGGCAGTGCATTTTGATATGCATTGGTTCATTATCATAGCTGGAAGAGTCTCTTTGTAATCATCGGCTTGGGAAGACTAACACGGTGTACAACATATAGGATGAGTGGCATGTTTGTGATGAGAGTTGATGTTCTGTTGTCTCTGTAGAACCTGTGGTTTGCCAACCCTGGGGGCAGCAACAGCATGCCAAGCCAGAGTCGCAGCTCTGTGCAACGGACCCACTCACTCCCTGTCCACACCTCCCCACAAACCATGCTCCTGTTCCAGCAGCAAGGTAGGATCCTAGCAACGCCTTCCCCAAAATATTACCCCAACCACTTCTAAACATCATAGACACTGTCTTACACATACCATCCATGTCTCACTACAACCTCCATTCACATTTCCTTTTATATCCCAGTGAAATCTCCTTCCAAACCCAATCATACACAGCCTTTATGCATCTCACCCACATAGCCTTCCAAACCCAATCATACACAGCCTTTATGCATCTCACCCACATAGCCTTCCAAACCCAATCATACACAGCCTTTATGCATCTCACCCACATAGCCTTCCAAACCCAATCATACACAGCCTTTATGCATCTCACCCACATAGCCTTCCAAACCCAATCATACACAGCCTTTATGCATCTCACCCACATAGCCTTCCAAACCCAATCATACACAGTCTTTATGCATCTCACACACATAGCCTTCCAAACCCAATCATACACAGCCTTTATGCATCTCACCCACATAGCCTTCCAAACCCAATCATACACAGCCTTTATGCATCTCACCCACATAGCCTTCCAAACCCAATCATACACAGTCTTTATGCATCTCACCCACATAGCCTTCCAAACCCAATCATACACAGCCTTTATGCATCTCACCCACATAGCCTTTTAAACCCAATCATACACCGGTTTACGCATCTCCCTACAAACCGCATTCACACGGCTCCATATCTAATGCATCTGTCCGTTTTTAAAGTGTGATTAATGGTCCAGATATAGTACACACAGACACACAGGATAACTGAGTGACCTGTCTCCTCTCTCCCAGAATGCCAAGTTCCAGGTGCAGACCTGGAGATCAACCCCACGCTGGAGTCACTGTGCCTCAGTATGACAGAGCATGCCTTAGGGGGTGAGTTAAAACACGCTCCTTACACTCCCACATCCACCTTTTTGGAAGTGTTATGACACTGATATTTAAAACCACATTTAGGTTTCCTGGAATGTTCTGATGTTATTGAAAGGTTTAATTTTGATTAGGCAGAGAGTACAATAAAATTAATTTTTTTATCCTCCTTCCTGTAGATGGAATGGACCGAACATCAACAATATGAAAATAAAAGCAGTGAAAAGAAGAAACCAAACCGACACTTCACTTCAACTGAGGCCTGTTCAGTTCCTCTTGCCCAGCACAAAAATATATGCTTAAAAAACAAAGCGAAATGGTCACTACAAAACGACAACTAACTGTGTATATGTTCTCTGATATTTTTCTACTTTATTATACTTAACTAAGTTTATTATAAATGGAATACAGATTACTATTATATTACAGGAGGGAGAAGAGGTTACTTCTGCAACCTGCTCAATGTCTTCTGCAGGACTGTGACATTAATACGAGCAGATTGAGGATCAGATTGTTGAGCTTTGAGAGGAAAATGGAGGATTGGTGCTGTCTTAAGGGGGTTCTACCTTACATGTTTCTCCTCTTTTCCTCCCAGAAAAAACAAACACGCAGAGCCACGCCTCTCACACCCAGATACTGTAACTGTACGGCCAGGGTCTCCCAACCAGGAGTAAGGCACTTGGCCTCCCACACACTCTGTGGAATTGGGCACTAGAACAACAATTAATCACACACAACACCAGCCTGTAGCGCAGTTCTGATCCTTAAACACAACTCCAGCTGTCTACACAACCACCCTACCCTGCTACAGCCAGAGATAGTTAGGCCCTAATACGTAGACACACCCAACACCCTGGCTCATTCCCCTCACGTACCCAGCATGGGTTAACCCCCAACATGGGTATTACTGGCTCTTGACACCTCACCTCTACTAGGCCAAAGAGAAGGGCTCTGTGTGAATACCTGATGTTTGGAGTGGCCAATGCGACAGTAGACATGGCAATTGTTAAAACAATGTCGGTTTGAAGGTAACATGCCGGCTGCAGCTTGTCTGCATTTATATTTTGTGCCCTACTACAAAAATTATGATGAATCTCATTTGCAAGTTAAGGGCAGAGGAAAACCCCACAGGGTTGAATAAGGGCTGGTGAGGTTTGTTCTATGTGGGGGCTGAGTGAGAACTTGCAAAAAATCCAAGAGGGGAGCTGTTGGTGCATGTGTTTTCAAGTAGTTACCTCACTATGTTATGCTGGGTGAGGAAGCTTAATGAATTCCACTTCTACCCTGAGATCCCATTATGACTGGCTCTGAAACATGCAAAGGAAGCTCAGTCTCTGCCACTCAGAATGAACCAGTACCCACCTCCTCACCCTGCCCTCTCCTCAACATGGCCAGTGTGGAGATTTGCGGAATCATACTTTTTAAGTAGCCAGAATAGATTCTGACCCTACGCTTACTTACAGCTCCACTGGGGTCGGACAGGCTTCCTGTTTAGATAAGAACACCGCGGAGCCGGCATGAGATATGGCTTGGAAAACGTACCTCAATCCAGGGATGAGAAATGCATTGTACTCTGAATTGTCCCATTATCTCAACTGTTACATTGAGAAGATTGAACGACTGATTGTTTTTAAGTAAACTGACGTTTTTGTCCTCATGCTAGCTAGCAGTAGCCACAGCGGCCATTATGGACTGGCATGTCGAGTTGAACAACAAAGGAGCTGATTGGCTGACACTGCCATTCCAAAATGGCTGCTGTGGCTTCTGCTACCTACCATGAAGACGAAAAGGGCAATTTTCCAGAAAATCTAGCAGTCGTTCAATATTCTCGGTGTACCAGTTGGGATAATGGGACAATTCGGAGTACAATGCATTTCTCATCCCTGGTACGTTTTCCGAGCCATATCTCGCGCCGGCTCTGCGGTGTTCTTATCTAAACAGGAAGCCTGTCCGACCCCAGTGGAGCTGTAAGTAAGCGTAGGGTCGGAATCTATTCTGGGTAACTTTTTAAGGTGCTTGAAATATGTCCTGTTTGGGTCTCTTTGTGTTCCAGTTGTAAAACCCTAACATTTATTTTGTGGTATCAGTGTTGAATCAGAAACTCTTATACAACCTCTGTCTTTGAATGTGGCAGAGCGGAGGTGCATGTATGTATATGGTCTTAACGTTTGGATCACCTTTGGTTGCTTCACGAGGCAGGGATATCCATTCACATTTTATTTCTGCAGAGCCATGGCTGGTCTATTTGTTTAGTAAAAATGGTTATTTACCAGCATGACTTTTCCACTTTTTTCGTTTTTTTACTACTCTCCATTTTAAGAACTTATCCATTTTTTCTAGAATTGCATGTTTTCCCCCCACACTAATTGAACGATTGTTGTAGATATTGAGAGAGGGAAGTGTTACACAGTCAAGGTAGTGCTCAATGTCTACAAATCCTCCAGAGAGCAGAGATGATGGGACTGGAGTTCAATGTTGATACCTCCTAATAGCACTGTTTACCTCCCTCTAGGAGTGCCCATTTCATGTTCTGTGATGTGTAATGATGGGTCTGAAAATAAGACTGTTGGCACTTCAGTGCTCATAAATATACTGTCTCCTCAATATGTAAGGCCTAAAGCACGTAGCTAAGCCTTCTAACACATGAGCGGGCTGGGTAGAGAATGACAGATGCCTTCTACCCCCTCAGTTCAGTTGCTTATCTACTCACTGTAATCATGATTCTCTCTAGACTAGATACTGTCTAGTGAGTGAGACCTGTACGAGGGTATGTTGTGTACCCTCTGCTCTGCGCTCCTAAAGTTTTTGAGTGGCAAGAGAAGACTGATATTGTCTGGCCTTGTGGGTTTGAACTGTCAGATGCCGCAGGTTGATAAACCGTTGATATGTCACCTGAAATGCACAGCGACAGCTTCCTCTCTATCTCTGATTGGCTATTGAGCCTGAGTAGTGTCCTAGTCATGGTTTTCCTCTGAGCTGGCTCTTGGATAGATATGACTGTATGAATACATTAGATTCATGCCCACAAAGAGTCAAATGGTTTTTTAAATGTTCACACATTTCAGGTTCAGATAGGCAACCAATGATCTCAATCTAAGCTATTAAACTGATAATTGATACTAAAATGACATGTAATATGGCTCAGGTTGTCATTTCCTATCCCTGTCTCTCAATACATACAATGGCACCTGAAGTAATTCCTCCACGTAAGAGGTAGCCAGTCCACTTGTAGAAAAGCCTTAGTTCTTTAGGTGAGGCTAAATTGAGTTTGCACATGCCAGTGGTTAAGGATGCAGAGGGGGATGAAATAGCCAATCTGAGCCATACTGTATATGTGAGTCTAGCCTAACACTAACAACGGGCCAAGGAATATGTTTACCCCCGTGTTTACATTCCAGTGAAGCGTGAAATGGGTTAGAAAATGCACTTCATGAGTCTGGCTTTATTTTCACATGCCAAACAGAATTATGAGGTACATAGCCAACCTGTCATACATGAGACTCCTTCTCCCAAGTGGTCTGTCAGATGTGGTCAATGTCCCTGCCTGGCATAGTAAATAAGCAGTACGTTGTAGGCTTTTTTTGCATCTCTGTCTTGTACAATTTATATTTAATTCCAATGACTCCCCAAACATTTTTATAATGTTTTATGAATGAACATTTTGCATCCCATGCTTACACCCTCTACTTTTTTACTGTCACACATTATGTTTGAATGATCTGAACTACAGCATTGATCAGATAGACAGTCCAAATAAAGGAGTTACATTTTTTTTGCTACGTGACTCATGTTTGTGGTATCATCAGTTTCCTTTTATTCACAGTATTGAATATATTATTTAAGACACTTTGCAACAGTTACATACAGCCGTATCATAGGTAATTCTGATTTTTCATACCTATGAGTATTGGTTACAAGTGTGTATGTTTTGCATGTAATGGAGCCGTCAGTAAATTCCATTCAAGTACACTACATGCCTAGTCAGTCAACAACATCAGGAGACTCACTCAGTCAAAATGTACATGCTACAATATATCAACTGCCTGTGCATGCATACATTTCGTAAGGATCATACACTGATCCATTTTCAATACGTTTACTTTGAAATGTACTGTTTTATGGACAACAGTGAGTTCCTATGTGGGCTTTTATTTTGGT